CTTGGCCAGACTGTAATGGCTCGTTATTAGACCGCGGATTTTATGCATTTGTGACAGAAGAGGGTTAGAAATGCGAAATTATGTAGACATTAGAAGACTTTAAAGATATCGTTACATTATTGTTAATGCACTGAAATCGTTTAAAGAAGAAATACATTTTTATTTAATCCCTGTTTCTTACGATCAATGCAGAAAGATTTGATTTTTATTACAAATCCGCGGCCTCCCGTTACTATCTAAACGATATTACATTGTAGACGAAGCCTTGAATAAATTACAATTATGCTAGTCAGATTGTGGAATAGAACGAACTATTGGAATATTTCAATAGTACTATAGCAGAAATACCATAGCAGTACTGTAGCAGAAGTATTATAGCACCATGTTTAGTCCAGAGTTGGGCAAAATTTCATTTGGATGACGGATATGATATGAGGATTATATAATAATATAATATAAGATAATATAATAATATTAATAATAATATAATAATAATATAATAATATAATTATATATAATATATAAGAATAAAATTTTATTCGACATTATCGAATAAATATCTATCTAAACGATATTACATTGTAGACGAAGCCTTGGATAAATTACAATTATGCTAGCCAGATTGTAGAATAGATCGAACATTGGAATATTCCAATAGTACTATAGCAGAAGTATTATAGCACCATGCTTAGTCCAGAGTTGGGCAAAATTTCATTTCGATGAAGGATTCGATATGAAGATTAACGAATAAAATTTTATTCGACACTATCGAATGAATATCGAATCGAATAAAAAATTTCTCTAGATACCAATTCATCTGAATGAGATTTGATTCGAACAAAAATTCATTTGAATAAGGAGGTACTTGTTATTCGAATAAGAATTTATTTCTACAGGAATTAATTCGGAAAATAATCGACTAGAATAAAAAATAAATGGTCAGCAATTATTGGCATTATTATTTGAATGATTCATGCGAATAATTTTACAATGTGTATACGAATAATTTATTCGAATAATTGTGCAATCTCTATTCGAATAATTTATTCGAATAATATTATACAATCCCTATTAGAATAATATTATAATCCCTATTAGAATAATCTATTCGAATAATGTTATAATACCTATCAGAATAATCTCTATTCGAATAATATTATAATTTCTATTAGAATATTCTATTCGAATGACATTGCAATCCCTATTCG